CCTTCTGAAGTCTTTGCCAGAAAAACTCAGCTAGAATGTTAGAGGCCCCAGGGATGGCCTAGGGGCTTTGGTGGAGATTATCTGGAACTGAGGAGGAATGCTGTCGCCAATCCTCTGATTTGTTGCCTGGTCCCCTAAATGAGGGCAGTTAATGCTTGAATGATATACCTCCTTGTCAAGTCCTCCTAACAAACTCTTGGCCCAGGTGAGAAATAAGAAGGAAGGAGTGAAGAATTAGAGGACAAGCAAGAGTTCATTCCCTCATTTATTCTCTTAACAAATGTTTGGTGAGGAAGACAGACCTATTAGCAAAGGATTTTTTTTTTTTGTACTGGGGACTGGACTTTGGGGCACCCGACCACTGAGCTACACCCCCAGCCCTATTTTGTATTTTATTTAGAGACAGGGTCTCACTGAGTTGCTTAGTGCCTTGCTTTTGCTGAGGCTGGCTTTGAACTAGCAATCCTCCTGCCTCAGCCTCCCGAGATGCTAGAATTACAGGCATGTGCCACTGTGCTGGGCTGCACGGGATTTCAGGAGAGGTTATGGCAGAGTTGGGGGTCAGGTTTGGGGTAAAAGCAAAATTGCATCATCACTCATTTTTCCCCATCAGTGGGACTAGCCCAGACGTGCACTTCCTCTCCCGCAGCTCCTACCCCCAGTGCCTGGGCTCCAGCAGCTTCACACCCTTCTGTGTGCCTCCATCATGACTTGGCTTAATTACTGAACCACTTGGCCTTGGGGTCCTGCCTACGCATCCTCCTTTAATCTCCATCCTCTTTATTGTGGTCACAAGTGCTCCATATGACCCCAGTCACCTTGCAAGAAAGAAATCATGCTTCTTGCAGCAGAAACAGCAGCACGTTCCAGTTCCAAGAGCAGAGGGGAGGATAAGGAAGGAGGAATAAGGGATAAGGGATAAGGAAGGAGAAGTGGCAGCAGAGGGGACACCCAGGTGGGCTTCTGTTACCAAGGCAGGTCAAACTCAGCAGGAGGCCAGCTGTCTATCTGAGCACCTGTGTGCTGGTGTGCAAGGGGAGAGGCATGTTGGGAAAAGTATAAACGGCAGCCATACCCCAGAGAAAAAACCCCAACATGGCGCCTAAGCACCTCTTCTTCCTACCTTCTTCTTTTCTGCAGTGGCGCGAAAAGTTCCCGCCCGTGTGAACTCTCCCGCCGGCGCCAATTTCAAATCTCGCTGGCGGGGAACCTTAGCCCCAATGAGAACTAATTCCTGGGCTCCGGAGCTGATATCTGAAAGAACTTGCCAATAAACGGGTTGCCTGCCATTTATCTAAACCCTACCATCTCCCTCTTAGTTCTATATAAGCACACTGCTTTTTGCAATAAAATTGGAATTCTCCCGGCGAAGTGTCTTTGCGTGGGGAATTCTTTCAAGGCACACCTTAGCAGGCCTCTCAGAGCCCATGTAGGCTATGGAAGGTGAGTGCAGGGAGGTTCCCTGTCATCTTGAGGGACCAGAGACTCTGCCCCTTAAAACTTTCCAAACAACATTTTCAAGTACCCCCAGTTGTCTTGCCTTTGAAAAGGAAAACATTTAGTCTCAGGAGAGAAGATGGGATTTTTACAGGGGTATACAGGATCACACAAGAGGTGAACCATAAACTTAGAATCCAGATTTTCTAACATGTGTTGTGGGCTCTTTCTTGTCCTGAGAGTTTACGTTCTGCTTTTTTCATGGTTACATTTACTAATCCAATGCAAGGCAGACAGAACACAGGTTCGAGGGTCAGGCAGATTTGTGTGGAAATCCTAGGTGTCCAGGATCGTGGTAGAGATTCAACAGGTTCGTGTATGGGAGAGTTTGGCCTAGTGTTTGGCACAGGAGATTGTGCAGTCAGTCACAGGATGCTCTCCTTCCTTCCGGAGGTGGCTTGTCCATGGTCACCTTTCTAGATACTCTCTGGGCATCAGAGCTGACCCCCTAGGGCACACCGCTACATTCATTAGGCCTCCATTTATACAGTGTGTTAGGAATTCAAGTACTTTATGAGCAGAGATTACTATTTTTATTCAATACATTAATCACCCACAGTGTTGAGATGCTGCCTGCACCACCCTATCAGAGAGGCTAACAAATCTGTGCCTTTAATTTGAGAGTATACCATTTTATAGAATTTGTTGCCCTCTCACTTTTGTTATAATCTGGCCCTTCCTAATCCATTCCCGTGGCCACGTAGCGTCATGGGTAAGGCTCTCTCACCAAAGGCTTGTCAGACAGGAGTGCATCTTACAGAAGAGGAGGGGGGAATGCTCACAAAGGAAGGACCACTAATAGGATGAGGAGAAGACAGGGAAGAAATTCAGATTGTTTCCATCCTTTGTTCCATGGTGATCATGGTTTTGGGCCACCATCTCTTTGGTTCAGAGAGTCAGCAGGAAGGTGGCATGAATTTCGATTGTGGCCAAATATAAAATAAGACATTTAGTGAGGAATATTTCTTGTGTGGAACTGCACCGTGGGGGAGAAAAGTAAGATCTGGAGTCTGAAGAGTTGATCTCCGTTCCTGGCTCTGCGAACTCTCACTAAGCTTGAAGGACTCATTCTGAGATGGAGCGGGAGGACTGAGGGGAGTTCTGCAGATGTGGTGTGCTGGAGTAGATGTTTGCCGACGCTGCAATCTGCATTTGCTGACTCAGCTGTCACTCAGTCATTACATGCTCACATTTTCCCCTGTCTCTAAGCAGTGCCTTCCTGCATGGGTGGCTCAGTCCCAGACACCAGATCAGCAGCTTCAGCTTCAGGTGGTGTCCTTCCTTTGAAAAGCCAGCTTTGGCTTGATTTTGTTATAGGACCTTGTTCTCTTGTTGGTGTCCCTCTGCCTCAGTCTTTTCAGAATGCATGAAAGAATGCAATCTTTTTGCTTTAGGCTGACCTCAATAGATGCAGTATCTTCCTGTCACTTAGCAGACACCACCTCTAGATTGCGAACATACAAGATCCTGGCCTCTGCAGAGTCTCTTCTCCTTACGGCAGCATGGAGCTGTCATGACAACAAAGTGCTTAGAACTCTGCTGGCACCTAGGAGGCACTCGAGCATATGAGGTGCTCTTAGCACTATTGCTGTATATCAGGTCTTAGCATGCCTCTTGACGTGTGGTTGCTTAATGCATAGTGGCTATTGTAGTTATCATTACTAACACCCGCCAAATTATCCGTATGGAATGGCAGTCTCTGAGTTATGCTTCATGACCCAGGAAAGGGACCCCAGGAATCTGTACTGCCTCTCGAGGACGTGGCTGTGTGCGTGCATGTGTTTGCACGCCTCCTAGCTGTGTCTTCTGACGTTGTGTTGCGACCTTCCTTCAGCACGTTTTCTGGGCTCTGTCTTCTGGCCTGACAACCCTCCTCGCCAGACTGTGAGTTTCCTAAGGGCTTCATCTCCATATCCTTAAGTAAAACATGATCAGAAAGTTTCAGGTAAAGGCGAGTAGGAGGTGGTGATAAGGGATCTCCTACCTCAAGGCCTTGGTACTTACAGTTCCCACTGCGTGGAAGGCTGTCACCTCGAAGTCCCACGGTTCAATTCCTCATTTCAGGCAGCTCCCTACTGAACGTCATCGTATCAGAAAAGGCTTCCCTGGGCACTCAGTAGAGAGAACCGGACCTCTCCCACCCATCACCACTTTCTAACGTTCTCTTCCCTCCTCTGCTTTGCTTCTCTTTTAGCACTTCCCACCATCACCTCATGGAGTCCACGTTTGCTCATTTATCATTCCCCTCTAGGGTAAGAACTTGCAGCCTCAGTGCCTAGAACAGGGCCTGACCGGGTGGGTAAAAGCTGGTTGAATGGACTGGGAGGCAAAATTGTGTCTTCATTTGGAGAGGATGACCCCAGGGAAGGGGTACAGAGGAAGACTGTGAGATAGGAAAGGCTTATGGGATGTGCTATGCTTGCAAGTACTGAAACACTAGAATGAGAAAGGGAAGTTTAGGACAAACAAAATGAAGTTTCATTTTAAACAACAGGTCATAATTTGGTGGAACTCCCTTCTCCAAGATGTGGGACCAGCTGAACAGTAAGAATCCATTCCCAGCACAAAGAGATGATCAGCATTTGAGGTGATGGGCGTCCCAGTCACCCTGATGTGCCATTACATTACTGCATGTGTGTCCCGAAATGCCACACCACACCCCAGAAATGTGTATGATTACCGTATGTCAATAAAAATGAAATGCATATGTGTAAAAAATAATATATAGAATAATACAATATATTCATATGATATAATACAATATCGATTTGTATAATTTCTTTAAAAAAGAATCTGTTGATAGTGCGGGTGCCTTTCCTGGCTGCCTGGCTGTCTGTCTCCGTAGTGCCCCGGCCTTTGTTACAGGCAGACTCTTGGATCAATGCACAAAGGGCTGGCTTCCAGTTGGCTATTTAAGATGTAATGAGAAAAAGAAGGAAGAAGGCAAAGAGTAAGGGTTGTTCAGAGCAAGCAGGAGGGAGGAGTGTTGGGAAGAGAAAGAGTGGGGAAAAAGGGGTCTACATCTCACTTGGGTGTTCACGAGTGGGAGACACAGGGGAGAAACGCAGAAGGGAATGTTTACATTTGAAAAATTGGGAGACTCTCATAGGCCTTGGGTTGAAGAGGCTCATTCATTTCACAGTTCATTCAATCAATGGTGTTTACTAATATCTACTTTGCATCAGGCACTGCTTTGAAATGCCCTCATCCAGCTTTCGTATTCTAGGGTAGGGAGACACGTCACTTCTGTGTCTGATATGTCAGTGCCATGTGCTTTGGAGAGAAATATGGAAGGTAGGAGATGAGAAGGGCTGGGATGGTGGAATTAGGGGGCAGGGACGGATTGTGATTATAACTGGGTGGCCAGGGAAGGTGAGATTCAACAACGGCCCGAAGGGGTGAAGTTCTCTCTCTGGCCCCAACCAGAGGCCCTGTGGGTTTTTAACAGCCTGCTATTGGCATTTAGCGAGTGCTTCTGATCCTCATTTTCTTTCCTGTCCCAGCTCTCTCATTCACTGAGTAAACATGAGGGGACACACTATGAACAAGACAGACAAGGACCCATACCTCTGTGGACCTTTCAAGGTGAAGAAGGAAATAGGTAAGTGGAAACCCAATCGTATGTGGAGCACTGTGCTGGGACGGTTAGATGGGTGGCGGTTCAGAACTGGGTGCCATCCGACCTAGAGGGGCTCAGGGGCGTCTTGCTGGCTGGGAAGGAAGCCTGAGCTTGTGGCTGTCTTCCTTTTAAGTTCTTTGCTGTTTGGCTTCTATGCATTCCTTCCTTTGTTGAGTGTCTCTCCAGATTTCAACTCCTTCCTCATCTCACATTTCTGGTTGTGTTAGGCATCGTGACTGAGTCCTCCTTGGCCTTTACTTCCCAGTTTAATGAGGATAATAGCTGCTGCCACCCACACGTTCTCAAGAATGCCAGAATGTTACAGAGGATCAGTGACATTTTGGAATGAAGCATAGGGTGTAGTTTAAAGGCTTTTAGCTCCTCCTAAATTACCCGACGCAATGCATGGCTAAGCCTCCGATTTCCCTGTGGCAATGGCTCTGTTTCTCCTTGGGCCTGCAAACAATTTTTGGAGCCCACCTCTCTCCCTGATGGGGCCTCCCGACAACAGAGCTCAGGCGTCTGGCACCTGATGAACTTGTAAGGGGTATCACAGGTGTCAAGAAAGTTTGCTGATGACCATCCCCAGCCAGAGACTCTTCAAGATCCCTCTGGTTCCTTGTCACAAAAGAGCCTGCACCACCTCACTGATCCGGGTGGGCACCAGGGGCCTGGGCTTGTCTGAGTCTTCATCATCTAATTCCACCTTCCCTCCCAGACTCCCAGCTCTAGTTAAAATGGTCTCTATGCCGAGCCCTGGGACCACTTCCACACCTCTACTCCGGTGGTAGTCCTCTCTAAAATGTTCCATTCTCCTCCCGATTTCTTTAAATCTACCCACCCCTCAGTGTCTACAACAACCACATGTCTGCAGCTATTCTTTGATCTCTCCCGGGACTGAACTTGGGGGTGAGTCAAAGATGGGCCATCTTGTAAGGTGGGACATTACTAATTGGGGTGTTGAAGTCTTCGTTATTTTAATCACTTGAGGAGCTTTGGAAAAGGCCATTTGACCTGTATTTCCCGACATGCAGCAAACCATAAAGATTCTTTGGGAAGGGATGTTCCTTGCATGTCAAAGCCCGGCAACAGCCTTGACCACCAGACACTGGTAATTAGGGCTGCAACAAACCTGAGTAAATAAACTTTATCTTCCACTAGTTTCTACTCCGTTCCCATTCTCTTAGTAACATCCCTACAATTCACTGCCCTAGTCTAGAAGTCTATAGGTCCTGTCACTCTTTCACAACAGTATTGGGTTTTTTTTTTGTACTGGGGGCTGGGGGCACTTAACCACTGACCCACATCCCCAGCCCCCAGACACATCCCCAGCCCCCAGTTTTTTTTTATTTTGAGACAGGTCTAAGTTGTCTAGGGCCTTGCTAAGTTGCTGAGGCCCTTGAACTTGTGATTCTTCTGTCTCAGCCTCCTGGGTCCCTGGGATTACAGGAATGAGCTACCATGCCAGGCTAAAAGTATATATATATATATATATATATATATATATATATATATATATTTTAATGTAAAAAGTATAAAAGCAGTATGCCTTAAACACCTATTGGGACTTTCACAACATTGTAAAGACACCATGTACATGTAAAATTAATACCATTTTAATGCTTTTCTCTTGTTAATCAACTCCTACATTAATTTGATTCCTAGATCCAGTTGAAGAATCCACATAAGAACTAAGGAACTGGTTACAGTGGTGCACACCTATAATCCCAGTGGCTTTGGAGGCTGAGGCAGAAGGATCACAAGTTCAAAGCCAGCCTCAGCAATGGCGAGGCATTAAGCAACTTAGTGAGACCCTGTCTCTAAATAAAATACAAATAGGGCTGGGGATGTGCCTCAGTGGTTGAATGCCCCTAAATTCAATCCCCGGTACCAAAAAAAAAAAGAATGAACTAAGGGGAAAGTAGTGATGTAGAGGTGATTTCTCTCCCTTACAGGGACACATCCTATCTTTCATAGGCTTCTTTGGTTTAGAGAAATATTTACCTCTATAGAGAATCCTCAAGCTGGGACAGACCATACTGCCTATCTCTAACTAAATGGTTTTCAAACTATGTTCCTTGGCAACTGTCAGGGACTGAGGGAAGGGACCTGGTGGTAGAACTCTGCTGCTTATACCCATTCAACTATTGTTTTTTAATCTGTAAAACATTTTAAGCTTGGCTTTGAGGAAAGATTTCTGCAGTTAAACTGCTTGAAAATAACAGTATCAAATTTGATTTGTTTGTAACACGGAAATGGAGGCCCACAGTGTATATGACACATGGCTAGGCAGTGTTGAGATCAGAATCCCAGTCCCCTGAGACCTATGGAGTTGTGTATGTTGCATAATTTACCATCTACAGTAAACTGTGGCACGATGCCCTGCTCAATAAACGTTGGCCGCTGCCACCGATGGCAATGATAAGGGTGACTTGTACATCTAGCAAGCCCCCCAGAGGCCTCCAGGGTTGTCTCCTTGGTTCTGTGGCCCTCCGTGGACATGCCCATGGCAGTAGCTGGACCATCAGTTTAGAGGGTTCCTTTTGGTTTCCTGCAAGGTCACCATGAACCAGCCCTTCCCTTACTCCCTAGTCTCTCCAGCATTGGTCTCGAAGCTGGTTCACCAGGAAACCTAACCCCCTCTAACAAAGTCCCCACATTCGTGTCTGATCTGCTGCCTGCACTCTCCTTTCTATTCTTCCTTACCCATGTTCTTTAAAGACCTAGTTCCTCCATGAAAACTTCTCCAATTCCTCGGGCTCCCACGGATCTCCCTTTCTTTAATAACAATACTTTCAGTTAATGTTCACGGAGCTTTTTAGACTCTATGCTTATTGCTTTACACCTGTTATCTCACCTGATGCCTATAAAGTGCTTACGAGATGGCTATTATTCACTCATAATTTATAGATGAGAAAATTAAGGCTAAAAGTTATAAAATAATTTGTCATAAAGACAATAAATAACAGTAGTAAGATCTGAGTCAGGCAATCAGAGCCCAGAAAATAGGGGCTTAATTGTTGCTGCCCATACTGAGCTTCTATTACATTTAGAGAGAGCAACATTTTTTTTTATTATTTACTTGCTGCTTCCTTCACTGAATATTTACTTGCTGCCAACTATATTCAGTAGACATTAGACAGTGTTAAAGGTGTATTTTAAAACTGCCTATTCTCTTAATGTCACCACATGGAAGTCTAATCTTCTGATCTTGAATGCAAGCTGCTGGAGAGCAGATCCTTTGTTTTCTTTCTTGCATCTACCAGCTCCTGCCCTCCTGTGCTGCCCCAGCATGCTGGATACCAGTGCTCAGCCAGTGAGGATCTTGATTGCCTTACTGTGCCCATGGTCTGTGACACGTGCAATAGATTCTCTGATCAGTGGGGAAGTTAGAAGTCATTTGGCCCATTTCCCTGACTCCAAGTCTCAACTACAACTAAAACATTTAAGGAAATGCAACCATCTAATTCAAAGGTTGGGAAACTATGGCCTGTGGACCCTATCAAGCCCATTGACCACTTTGTAAAAAAAAAAAAAAAAAAAAAAAAAAAATTTAACTTCAGTTTTTATTTTTTAAAAAAAATTAAATATTTTCCCCACATTTTTGCTGGCTGCTTTTATAAAGTCTACAAGCTAAGAATGATTTTACATTTTTACTGTTTGTCAGAAAATCAAAAGAAGAACGATATTCTGTGACTCATAAAAGTCATATGAAATTCGAATTTTAGTGTGCATTAAACTTTTACTGGGACATAGCCATGCTCATTCATTATGTACCCTATAGCCTATGGCAGGCCCCCTGTAACAATGGCTTCACATTGCAGTGGGATGTGATATAAACTGCAATGCTGAGGTTTTAGCTTGATATTGTTGAGAGTGTCACATTTATTGCTGAACCATACATTTTTTTTTTATTACCAGCACATGCCCATCACGTCAAAACAAAAAAGAAGAAAGTGGACTTCAAATGTCATACTTTTAAGACACAGAAAAGTACTTCTGTTGTTACAGATTAGGTAGAAAAGCATTATGCTTATTATGCAATGATACTAAAGCTGTGCTAAAACAATGTATACTACAATATAATATTCTGACATTGCCAGACAAGTGTAAGCCCTTGTTACAAAGTTCCCAGTTCACAGGAAACAATGATCAGAAAAAATAAGAAATTTACAATGAAATCACAGCAGAATTTCTATACAAAAAAGTCAAAACAAGACTGCAATCAATCAAAATAAGTTTCTGGTTTGTTCATTTGTTAGCCAAGCAAAGAAAGCTGTTTGCCAATGGTGAATTTATTAAATCATATTCTATTGCAGCCACTGAAGAAGTGGGTTCACAGAAAATAAACTTGTTTTTGACCACTAACAAAGAGTAAGAAGGGACATTGGGAGCACCATCAATTGTCAATTGATTAATAAGGCAAATGGTTTTGGGTGATTTTATTTTCTTCTTGGCAAGTTTACAGATCTTTCTGATACTACTCATTGTTTTTTCAGGTAGTCAATGCTAAATTTGAAGTGACCAAAGAAATAGCTTCTATAGATAGTCTGTGTGGAACAACTACATGCAAATATTTTCAAAGTAGAGAAAATGCTACTTTTCTGAAGTAAGATCCATTAAGATCTATTATAACAATTACTAAAATACACGTGAAAAAGAAAAAGTCTAAATGGAAAATTTTCCAAAGCTTGCGAAAATGTATTGTTTAAAGCCTCTGATTCTTCATTGCGTTATTCTCTAGTAGGTGGTTATCAAAGTCCTAGCTAGACCAGAGGCCTGGCTCTGGGAGTCCAGGTAAACTAGGTCTGACCACCAGGGCTTACCAAACTGAAAACGAAATAGAGCAAAGCAGAAGAGAAACTTTTAATCAATATGGCCATATGAGGAAGACAAAGTGAGACCCAGAATCTCAGGGATGCTCAAATGAGCTTTAGGTTTAAACAGAAGTAAAATTGGGGGAAGGAGGTATGCATAATTAA